TGAGGTGGGGGCAAATCATTTCTCAGGAGACTGTCTGTACATGAGGTACCTGGAGGAAGCCTGGGCAGAGAGCCAGCCATGCCATCTTGTAGCTGTGCAGGTGCCAGGAAGAGGGCAGCCCTCGCTGCTAACTCACAAGTTCCTAAGGGCAGTTGTGAGTGAAAAGGCAAACAGCCGAACGGAACTGTAGGCGCCATTGGATTCCTTCGGATCACGGGAGAAACACAATAAGCAGATATTCCTGCAGGTTCACATCCAAGGCAGAGAATGCACTGGAAAAGGTCCCACAGGAGCCCTGCCCAGCTGGCAGCTGTGTCACCCCTTACCCGGGGCAGGAGGCAGGAGGGATTGCAGTTTTATCTGTGGGGTTTGCATTTGTAATGAGCAGAATGTGCACCTGCATAGTTGGGCTGGAGGCCCGTCCTGCAAGAGTGGAAGCCAGAGGCTGAGGGGAGGGGAGTGCCTGCCCTCTGGAACTGACATCCTAGTTTTCTCACTTAATTCTCACAAATGAACCTGTGGAGGTCAGGGATCGAGTCCCACTTTGCAGATGAAGCAGAGGCTCCCAGAGAGGCCATCACTTGCCCAGCGTCAGCCACCTGAGGGCAGGGCCGCTGTCCCTCCTCACCCTGTGCCCACCCTGGTTCTGATGGCCACAGGTCTGAGCCGGTGAGTCCCTGATGAAGCTAGTGTCCGACCTTAAGCAGTTCCTGATCCTCAACGATGTCCCCTCTGTGAACGAGACCATCGACCAGCGCAACCAGCAGCTGTGCGCGCTGCAGGAGGAGCGTGACCAGAAGCTCATCATGCTGCGGGATGAGATCTCCATTGACCTCTACCAGCTGGAGGAGGAGTATTACTCATCCAGGTACAAATAGAGCTGGACTCCCCGTGCAGAGTGGGAGCCTGCCTACCTGGGCCTGGCCAGCAGGCAAGGCTGGCCTGACTCTGAAGGGCCTTCTGCTTTTTCAAATCCTTGCTGGCAGTGGAGCTGTGCCTGGGTTTCAGAGCAGAGCTCCTGGCCAGAACATTTGATCTACAGATAGTTCACAAACGTCTGCCGGGGCCCTGGGCCTTTCCCACAGTGCAGTGTGATGAAAGCCACAGGACTCATACCAGTTGCATAGGCCAAGTCTGGAGAAGGGAGGGCCTCGCCGGCATCCCCTGCAGGGCCTCTTGCTGAGNGGCAGGCCCAGTAAGCAGTGATGGTAAGCCTGGAAGCTAGCATGTACTTTGTGCTCGCCATGTGTCAAGCCACTTTGTGTGGCTGTCTGGGCCCGTTCCGCTGAATCTTCATGGGGACTCTGAGGTGGGCACCATTGTCCTCTCCATTTCAGGAGGAAACCCAGGCCCAGGAGACTTGAACTCACAAAGTCAGGCTCTTAACTACTGAGGGCACCTGACACCCACCCTGAGCTGAGCCCTGGAGAGGCCTACTGGGAAGCCCCGTCCAGGTTAGCCGAATGCACTGGCTGGACTCCTGGCCCCTCTGTTC